TGAGTATGGTTATCCAGCCAGTTATGCACCCACCTTATAGTAGCCCCATCTAAGTTGTATTTACTTAGTTTATTGATAAGAATATCATGCGAGACCATATCAAACGCCTTACTAAAGTTTAGGTATACCACATCCACCGCTTCTCCCTTATCGACAAGACTTGTTATCCTATCAAAGAAAACTATCAGATTGGTTTGACATGATTTATTCTTTACAAATCCATGCTGGCTGTTCCCTATCACCTTGCCACCTTCCAAGTGTTTCCAGATTTCCTTAATTACTTGCTCCATTATCTTCCCTGGCACAGAAGTTAAACTAACTAGTCTGTAGTTTCTTGGGTTGTTCTTATTTCCCTTTTTATAAATGGGCACTATATTTGCCCTTTTCCAGTCGTCTGGAATCTCTCCTGTCTCCCATGATTTTCCAAAGATGATAGCTAGAGGCTCAGATACCTCCTCTATCAGCTTCTTGAGTATTCTAGGATGCATTTCATCAGGCCCTGGTGACTTCCAGGCATCTAACTTTTCTAGGTGATTTTTAACTTGTTCTTTTTTTATTTTATCTTCTAAACCTACCCTCTTCCCGCTAGCATTCACTATGTTAGTCATTCCTTCAGACTTCTTGGTGAAGACCGAAACAAAGAAGTGATTAAGCAGCTCTGCCATTTCCAAGTTTCCTGTTACTGTTTCTCCCTCCTCACTGACCAGTGGGCCTACCCTGTCCTTGGTCTTCCTCTTGCTTCTAATGTATTTATAAAAAGTCTTCTTGTTTCTCTTTATTCCCGTAGCTAGTTTGAGCTCATTTTTTGCCTTTGCCTTTCTAATCTTGCCCCTGCATTCCTGTGCTGTTTGCCTATATTCTTCCTTTGTAATTTGTCCTAGTTTCCATTTTTTTATAGGACTCCTTTTTTATTTTTAGATCATACAATAGAGACCCATTCTTTATTGGCTTCTAGGTGCTATCCTAATCAACATGATTGATATCAATCACAATATGTCTTTCTAGGGAATTATCTTTAATACTGGGTCATGGTTTTTAAACTGATTGATTTCTGTAATAAATTGTATTAGAAGTAAACAGTGATGTATTTTGGAATGACTATCAGTGTTTAGGAAGAGTTGCAACAACGTGTCTCATGCTGATAGCGTTGTCTAAACATAGTTTTCTGAGTATCTGGTAGAGTTGTCTTCTCCCTTTGTATCTACACTCAAACAGAATTCAGGATTGAGCAGCTGAATTATAGGTGAATGGTTGGTGCTAGGTTGACTTACTTTTTTTAAAAAATTTTTTAAAGACCTTCTGTGTTCCAACAACCAGTGATCTTCTTGGGAGCAGATGTTACTCATCCACCCGCTGGGGATGGAAAGAAGCCTTCCATTGCTGCTGTAAGTGCTATGAATTTGACTTAGTTGTTTTAATCTATTATGAATAAAAGAGAGGGGAAAATTTAGCTACATTTATGAGAAGACTGAAACTTCATAAATCTGATGTGGCTTTTATTTCCCCCTGCAAATTCCAACTGTCCACATATCGAAATCAGATATCTTCATAAAAACAAAAGTGCTGCTTAAAATGTCTGATGCTTTTTGGCATTCTAATATATTTAGTAAAGATGATATGTCAGTGGAGCTATTAAACTATAGTTCTTTGAGAGAACTTACAATTGAGTTAAGTTCATTACATTCCAAAAGAAACAGTGCGTCTCTAATAGTTTAACACAGCGGCGTTGTGTTAAGTTATGTTTAAACAAAGACTGATGTTAGCAGAAAGATCTTCATAACTTTCTCTTTTTCAGTCTGGGAAGGACCAATGGGCTGTGAGATCTTCAGACAGTTTGGTTACTCATGCTGCTCTTCGCATTATCTGATATTCATTTAATCAATGGATGGGCATTACTATCTGATTTTGAAGAAGCTACCTGCTTTTTATCAGGACTGGTGTGTGAAAAGCAAATATTTATATTTCCAGAATGGAAGGGGAATATTTAGAGTTCCTAATGAATAGGCATTGAACCAAGAAGAGGAGTCTTTGCTTAAATTACTAAAGTGGGGTAGAAAAGGAAATATTGCACTGCCATCAAAAGTGGATGAATAATTCCAAAGCAGATATAAAATAGACTTTTTTGTGATGGTCTGGTAAAAGGCACATTTCAAACACTTTCCTGTGTGTGGCTTAGTGTCTAAACCCCATTTTACAACAAGTTCTGTGCCATTTGCTTAAATGATTTGATTATTCTCTATGCTCTCTTTAAAATATACCTTCAAATTTAAAACCTCTTCTCTTTTCCATGGCAAAATATTTTGGATCAATTCATTATAGATTTTTTTTTTTACATTCTTCATTTTCCCCTATAGGTTGTAGGTAGTATGGATGCTCATCCAAGCAGGTATTGTGCCACAGTGAGAGTTCAAAGACCTCGGCAGGAGATTATCCAAGATTTGGCCTCCATGGTAAGAGAACTTCTCATCCAGTTCTACAAGTCAACGCGATTCAAACCCACGCGCATCATTTTCTACAGGGATGGGGTTTCTGAAGGACAGTTTCGACAGGTTCGTTATGCTTTAATTTTTTTCTGTGGCAAGATTTGAATTGAGAAATATTATAGTTGCATCTGAGTAAGATGTAGCACATAATATATTTGTTGCACTTCTTTTTGAAGTGTGAAATTCCTGCGGCATTCTTCAGATTGTGGGCTGAGGAAGGTAATGATATATTATATCAAATGGATGAAAAATATGTTTCCTTGTCAGAAAGCTGATCATTTAGAGCCATGGTTAGGTATAGACTTTTTGACTTTCCACATATTACTAATAATGCATAACAGACCTGAGCAAGTGTTAACTACAGAGTGCTATTTACTGGGCACGTTGTACTTTGCGCATTGAAAGAGTAAATTAATCAATTGCAGGTCAGAAGTGGCATGCCAAGATTTAGTTCTCCCCATCCCCCTCAGTGCAAGCCCTATTCCCTCCCATCCTTCCCCCGCATCCTCCTTCATCCCCCTCCTGCCTCCACATCTCTGTGCCCCACAGCACACATGCCGACAGGACAGCAGTGCTGGGTCAGGAAGCGGCTTGGGGGACGGGGGACAGAGTCACTTCCTTGCCCGGCCCGGCCCTTTGCCCAAGGCTCACAACCTCATCTGCTGGCTGGGGCAGGCAGAGCCCCAGCCAGGTGCAGTGGGGCACTGGGGAAGGGTCTCCCTGCCTGAGGGGAGCAGCCATGGATTAGCCTGGGCCCTGATACTCCACGGAAGTGGCAGCAACATGTGACTGGCTGCACTACCCCGATCTGCGGAGGAGCTCAGCCCCACCCCCATCCCCTCCTGGAGTAGGAGGCAGAGTCTATAGCAGGGCAGGGTTGTTAATCCTTATCTCCCAGGAGCGGCACCCCCCCAAGGATGCGGAGCCCAGCACAGTGTCATGCTGCCCACTCTGCTTGACAGGCTGCCAGCCCCTACGCCATGCTGCACATGCCACAAAAAATCATCTTGCGTGCCACTTGCAGCACGCATGCTGTATGTTGCTGACCCTGATCTATTGTTTCTGTACTGTAGGTGTTGTATTATGAGCTGCTAGCAATTAGAGAGGCCTGCATCAGTCTGGAGAAAGATTACCAGCCAGGAATAACATACATCGTCGTGCAGAAACGACATCACACACGTTTGTTCTGTGCGGACAGAACTGAACGGGTAATCCATAGCCCATTCCAGTGTAGTTATGTATGTGAAAAGGTTAATAAAGAGAACAATAGGCTAGTATTTTTGCTAACTATACAAATATTCAAAAATTCACTTGATGAATTGCTCACGTTGAGAAGCGATTCTTCAGATCAGGGGTGGGCAAATACCAGCTTGTGGGCCAGATCCAATCTGCCAGGGTTAGGCCCTGGCAGGCCACCACCACTCTATTTACCTGCGCCTCTGGAGGTACAGGTGATTGCAGCTCCCGTTGGCCATGGATCACTGTTCCTAGCCAATGGGACCTATGGGAAGTGGTGTCCCAGTCTGCACCACTTTGCGCAGCTCCCATTGGCTGGGAATGGCAATGCAGCTTTTGTTGGCTGTGGAATTGCTGGTACGCAGGTAAATATAACCGTGGCGGCCCATCAAGGACTAACCCTGGTGAGCCACTGCTGTTTTATTGCCTATCCAAGCTCCAGATTAACAGGTGCAAAAAATTGATGCCCAACTTATTTATATTTAAAAATCTCATGTTACTTTATTCTGAATTCAGTTGTAAAACTTCAGTTTGTAGATTTACAGGTGTTCGTGTGTCATACTAGGCTCTGACAGTAAATTGCTAATTAATGAGCTATAGTTTAATGTTCGTTTTGAAGAAGGCTAAATATCTTGAAATACTATTTGATACAGGCTTTACAAAAATGTTAAATACAAGAGAATGTGAAAACACAAAGGACTTTATTTCATTTAAGTTCACTTGTTTTCTGAGTTATCTATTGCAGCCTGGATGGGCACACAAACCAAAATGTACATAGTTAAGTCTTTAGCTACTTTCCCCTTCTGAGAGCAGGTGGAGCTGAAAGTGTTGTGGCTGCAGCCTGCTTAATTTTAGGAAGAAAAGGGGAATGTTTGTCCACAGCAAGCATCCCAGATCATTACATTTGTTTACTCCAAAGTGACAGTTAAGGTGAGGGCTTCGTTCATTGAATGCTGTACGCTCTAAATAGAATGTATTTTAAAGTTGCAGTGAGATGGCATAAGTCAATCATAATTTTTATTGATCTATTTTCTGAAAAATGGCTATCCTAATATTACTTTCATCAAAACCTCTTTATAGGTTGGAAGAAGTGGCAACATTCCAGCTGGAACAACTGTAGATACAGATATTACACACCCATATGAGTTTGATTTTTACCTCTGTAGCCATGCTGGAATACAGGTAAGATTCCTTCCTTTAAATGAATACACATGGGTTAAGCAAGTGTTCTTTACCTTTTTTGAAAATATGCCTACACACAACTGTGTGTTAGACAAACATCTTGTTCTATTTCCTTAAAAGCTGTGAAACTTGTCTCTGGGACCAGCACTGCCAGTGACTTAATTAACTGAGCTGTTAGGTAAACTTTTATTTTCATAATCTGTTTTGATGTGAGGTTGGTTTATTTAAAGAGAAGTAATGAGCCCTCCTCATATAAATTGGGAAAATGGAACTCTATGTTAAACATTGTATACGCTTGAGAACTTGGTTAAATTTTGAGGATTGAAAGCAGTCTTGAAAATTAGTTGACTTATTTTTCTAAACAAAGAAATGCCCTTCTCCCATCCTTCAGGACTTCACCCATCATTCATAAATTAAATTAATGGAGATTGCCTATCTCCTAGAACTGGAAGGGACCTTGAAAGGTCATCAAGTCCAGTCCCCTGCCTTCACAGCAGGACCAAGTACCATCCCTGACACATTTTTGCCCCAAATCCCTAAATGGCCTCTGCAAGGATTGAACTCACAACCCTGGGTTTAGCAGGCCAATGCTCAAACCACTGAGCTATCCCTCATGAGATCTCAAAAATAATTGCCAGTGGTTCTGAGATTACTTCTGCAAGTTTAAGTACACTAGGATTAATTTCATCAGGCCCTGTCTTAAACTAAATCTATATCTAAAGAAAGGGTGAGCTAATCACATCATTTGTTAGTACCTGCATGAGGAGATTTCTGGTAATGCTGTGGGAAGCTTTTAAATTTAGCAGTGACATAAGAGCTAATGGCTAGGAGCTGAAGCTAGACAAATTAATTCTAAAAATAAGGTGCAAATTTTTAAGTGACAGTAACATTGGAACAATGTACCTAACGTATGCATTCTGTCACTTGAAGGACTTAAGAGAGAGAGTACTTCAACCAGAAGTTATGGGCTAGCTATAGGAATTGCTGGGGTGACATTTTCTGGCTTGTATTATGCAGGAGTTCAGACTGTATGATCATAATAATTCCTTCTGGCCTTAAAGTCATACTTGATGCACGTGAAAAAGCCAGAAAAATGAACTGATGTTCCCTTCTCCGTAGGGTACCAGCCGTCCCTCTCACTATCATGTTTTGTGGGATGATAACTGTTTTACTGCAGATGAACTTCAGCTGCTGACTTACCAGCTCTGTCACACATATGTGCGTTGCACACGATCTGTTTCTATACCTGCACCAGCGTATTATGCTCACCTGGTAGCATTCAGAGCAAGATATCATCTTGTGGATAAAGAACATGACAGGTAAATGAAAATACAAGTGTTTAGATTTATGTTCTCTTTCAGCCCTCAGTCCAAAACCTTTTCCCTATTGTCAGGCTTTAAACTATCTAATTGTAGTTTAGCAGTCCCCAAATATTTTCCCTGCATGAACTCATTTTCACATGTACTCCTTCCTGCAACCCTAGACATCCTGGCAAATGCTGTTTAAAAAAGGCATCTTCCTTGCAGCATGACCTCACACACTCTCTCTCTATTTTGTATTACAAAGTGGCATTCTATGCACAGTGTGACCTTGCTCACATATGGTGTGAGATCACATTGCATAGAGCAGGCGCTAGTCTGCAGAACAGCAAAGTGTCCTCCAGGCAGCATGACATCACATGTACTATGTATATGATATCATGTTGTTCGAAAGATACCATTTTGCCAGAGGTGTAGCCATGTTAAACTGTAACTTTTAAAAATGAGTAGCCCTTTGGTACCTTCAAGACTAACAGAAATATATATAATCATGAACTTTTGTGGTTAAAACCCACTTCATCAGATGAATTGGAATGGAAATAAAAGAAATCAAGATATATATAACCACGGGAGAAGTACCTGTCAATTATTGGACCTGTGTTAATGAGGCTAATTAAATGGGCTGGATGTGTCCCATTCATAGCTTTTGATGTGAAAATGTGGTTGTTAAAAAGCAGGAGAAATTGGCTTTGAAATATGCCAACCAGTTACCTTGGATTTGAATAAAGACATTAACAGTGTTAAAATTTGTAGATGAATTCCAGTTCTGCAATGTCTCCCTGTAATTGATTACAGGCAGTCCCCGACTTACGCGGATCCGACTTATGTCGGATCCGCACTTACGAACGGGGCTACCCCAGAGTACATGGACTGCGGGACCTCGCGGTCCTGCCGCCCGTGTACTCTGGGGCTTTCTCTGCGTTTCCCTGGTCTGCAGACCAGGAAGACGCAGAGCAAAGCCGCGGAGGGGCTCGGGCAGCCCAGGGGCGGGGGACAGCCCAGGCGTGCCTGGGCTGTCCCACTGTGGGCGTGCTCCAAGGCTTTGCTCCCCGTCTCCCTGCAGACCAGGGAGACGGGGAGCAAAGCCTTGGAGCACGCCTGCAGCGGGACAGCCCAGGCGTGCCTGGGCTGTCCCCCCGCCCGCGTCCCCCGCGGGC